TTCAGGACATGTGCAAATGGATTCACGGAAGGGAACGTGAGGCACGAGCAGAAATTTGAGAATCCGTGGCAGACTGGCGCATCATCATCCATCATCATCTTCCTTCCCTTATCCCAATTACTTGGGGTCGGAGCAACCCGTTTTGTTGGACACAAAATCGTGTTGCAAAAGGATTTGGCTTAACTTTACGACCGGCGCATACGAATACAAATTCCCGATTCAAAAATACGTCTCTAGCACAGGCGTTAAAACAACAACAGCCACTGTGTACTCTACATTGCATTAGTGATGAAAGTGTGCGAAATATCACAAGCGCATTAGTCTGCTGTTTCTAAACGTAGACAGGCCGCGGTTTGACTACCACACTCTTAGAGTATATATAAGCAAGCTATAGAGTGCGCCTAAAAAGTTAGAACTGTCGGCTGTAGTCTGCGCACAACCTCTCTGTCAGTCAGTAGCAAAACGCCAGTAACAACACTATTGAACCTCTATAACTTCTCATACATGTGCCGTCCATCTAGGGAGCAACTGCTTACGCTTTGACAGTACGCCGCTAGGCCTTATGCGCACTCTATAGCTTGCTTATATAAAATCTAAAACCAACAAATTCAGGAAAGATAGGTATGGGGTGATGCTTATCTAAGCCTTTTAGAGGATACAATTGCATCACACGACAAATCGTGATAAAATAATGTTATTACTAGTACATTACGATGTATAGAAAAGAAAATAATAACTATCCATATTGTAGATACAGCCGAGTCGTGCCGGCTTGGAATAGCCCCATTTCTTTCCTGCGCATGTGGTAAAAAGCGACTTAGGACCTCGAGGGTTTCATGTGTATTGTAATTTTAGGCAACAGGCTGACACCCTGTCACCATAGTGATACACGAAAATAGCTAAAACGTAGCTATGTATGTTTGTTTGGTATCGGCAATCCATTTGTGCGTGATTCGTGCCATGTTTTTGTTTGAATTGTTAAGTTTATTTCTTTCAAAACTTTATAATTATAATGTAATTTATTTCGCAGGACGCCGACGACCTGCCGTTCCGTCGCGGCGAACGGCTGATGGTGATCAACCGCGACGAGGAGCAGTGGTGGACGGCCAGGAACGCGCAAGGGTGCACCGGATCCATACCCGTCAACTACATAGAGCGGGTGAGTGCCAAGCTACGATGGTCGCTGAGACATTTGCTCAGGGACCAGTGTAAGGTGGGCTGATGGTGATGAAGAGGAGCAGTGGTGGACGGCCAGGAACGCGCAAGGGTGCACTGGATCCATACCCGTCAACTACATAGAGCGGGTGAGTGCCAAGCTACGATGGTCGCTGAGACATTTGCTCAGGGACCAGTGTAAGGTGGGCTGATGGTGATGACAAGAGCAGTGGTGGACGGCCAGGAACGCGCAGGGGTGCACCGGATCCATACCCGTCAACTACATAGAGCGGGTAAATAGTTATTCGTACAATAATAGAGCAAAATTTATTTTTGCTGCAAGTGCTATTTTGAAGCAGCAAAAGATACTTAAGGGGGATCGTTACGTCATACAAACTAAAATCTGAACTTCAACCGAGTTACACATGAGCTAAACAACAATTTTATCAAAAACTCTTTATGTGAGATGAGGAAGGCACACGTAAATATGTCGCAAAACTGCTTAACGTAAAAAAATATCAAGTATTTTCTCCACAAAAAAATTAAACGTGTTTATTGCAGCAGTAGCTCCATCTATATTCATTAAGTGGCGACACGGTTTTTACAGAGAAATCTGATGGTTAAAAAATTATTTGTTTTATTTTGCGACAATGTTATAAAAGCACGGGACTTCCCATCAAGTTTTTTAATCATAATTTTGTCTCATTTAAAGACGTAACTCCATTTAAATTTTGTATGGAAAACGATCCACCTTAAATTGAGTCACGAGCGTGGGAGTAAATTAAAAGTAGTGCCCAGAGTTTGGTGAGGGATTCAAAAGCACGAGTTGTAACCAAATTTGTTCTCGTGTGGTACACACAACTTTTCACCTACGCTTTCCTAATTTGTGTTTTCACTGCCCACTGGCCTTTATGCTCCCCTTGGCCACCACTCTGTGACTGCTTTTGTCAACCGTCAGTCTTAGTCTAGTAACTAACGTCAATAGCTGGTTATAACTATTCGGATTGACCCATGAAGCTGAAAATCGGCATGTAGGTACTTCTTGACCTCCTGATCAAAATTAGACATGGAGCCCAGCGGGCACCACCCCCCTTAACCTTTTACCGCCCCCCCCTCCTTTACAAGGCGTAACTTTTGAAGTAATTGAATTGGAGGGTAGTTTTTATTTCGTATCGAGCGTGACATCTCACTTAAAGCTTATTGTGCCCTCAAAATTACCCTTTAGGCCCCTCGGGGGGCCCAAAAGGCCGAAAAGTGGGGTGTCCCGTTCTTATATGAGATTTTCTTATTTTCAAGCTATCGACTCCCAAGAGGTATCAAAAGTTGCGGAATTTGACACAGATTTCCAAATCCTAAAACATCTTTAAATAATATTTATCTTTAGGGCTTTGCCGAACATTAAAATACAATAATATGTTGGTTTCGTAGTCACAACACTTTAACAATCGATAGAGCCCTAAAGATAAATATAATTTAAAGATATAATAGGTTTTTTGCAATTTGTGTCTAATTACGCAACTTTTGATACCTCTTGGGAGTCGATAGGTGGAAAATAAGAAAATCTCATATAAGAACGGGACACCCCACTTTTCGGGCTTTTGGGCCCCCCGGGGGACCTAAAGGATAATTTTGAGGGCACAATAAGCTTCAAGTGAGATGTCGCGCACGATACGAAATAAAAACTAACCTCCAATTCAATTACTTCAAAAGTTGCGCCTTGTAAAGGAGGGGGGGTGGTAAAAGATTAAGGGGGGTGGTGCCCGCTGGGCTCCATGTCTAATTTTGATCAGGAGGTCAAGAAGTACCTACATGCCTATTTTCAGCTTCATGGGTCAATCCGAATAGCTGTGACGTTAGTTACTAGACTATCTAGCCTCCTTGTCATCATCATCATCATTGCTCTCAAACGTCTGTGACAGGCGATTCATTCAGTGTCTCAGGCAAGACTTTTCATGGTTATAAAAGCCGATACGAGAGCAGCATGACTTTCCGCACGCTCTACAAGTGAGGATGGAATTGGAGACTGGCTCATGCATGCTTAGCAGTCTTTTCTGCCTTTTGTTAGCAAGACCAGAGAACCAGGCATCATCGTGACTTTTATCAAACACACTTTTTCGCCATTCATCTCTATTCTCAGCAAGCTTCTCCCTGCTTTTATGGTCGATGTCAAACGCAGGTGTCGAAATAATAGCGACTATTTTTATATTTTCAGTTGCTGGACGCTCGTGGTATGCCGCTGCCGCCGAATGATGCTCTCACACAACTAGGCGACCCGCCCAGTCCGCAGGGGCAGAGGACACGCACCAATATGCAGGTAATTCATACTTACTTCACACTTGTATCTCTTGCGAGGAAAGCAGAGCGTTAAAAGCCCTAAAAATATAGACGCTATCGGCTAACCAAATGTATACAAAATCATGCATCACTATGGGCATCAGTCTGTTGTCTCAAATTGTACACATGAAACCTTACGTCCTAGTCCTATAGATGCTATTATAAACCGGCATTACACGACACTGACACATTTTTAAAATTATCACCCTATTTCTAATAGTGGGTGTCGTGTCGTAGTGTTTCCTGAAGAAAAGAAGAAGAAATCAGGAAATGAGCAGCACTGTTTCCTGCGAATGTAACATCCTTTCTGCGAATAGAAAATCCGCTTTCCAAGCGTGGTGAGGATAGGCGCAGCAACCCACGATTAGACGTGGGATGTCATCTGGAGGCTGGGTTCACTGCGAGAATCATTGAAATTTTTGGAAAAAAGAGATTTGTTAAATTAAAATCAGTTTACTTAAACCTATTAATGCGAGCTTTTCTTATTAAAAGACGAATTTCCTGCTATAAAAAAACTAAACTACAAGTTACATAAAACTTGGATTGATTTTCTAATTCTGCTATTTTTAAGACAAGTGAATCAGTTGTGGTAACTATAGACGATTTCTTTGAATACATCTTAAATTTTTTGATGTCTCGGTAACCACAGTAAAAGATACTTAAGAACTGAATTGAACGTAACGCTTTTTTCATTTTCTCTCGAATTACGGCCTTAAAATAAGGTAAAGTTCGGATAGACTATAAAAACTTTCGGCATCGGTACTTCGGCACTTATCTTTTATGCATACTGACTAAGACAATCCTACTAATATTATAAAGGCGGATGTTTGTGTGTGTGTTTGTTACGACATCACGCAAAAACGGCTGATTAGATTGACATGAAACTTTGCAGAAATATAAAAGGGCACCTGGAATAACACATAGTATATTTTTTACCACGGAAAAATGTCTCATTCCCACGGGATCACGCATTTTCCAATCTTTTTGAAATAGGTGGCGTGAGTGAGCCGATTCGCGTTTTAAACGTTTTCGCCGAAAAGTAACAGTGACATCTCTTGGCGAATAATGCTTCTTTCCCGCGGAATAATAGGTTGCAGCGGGTGAAACCGCTGACGGGCAGCTAGTTACAACATATTTGTGTACGTTACTCTTTACCTGAAAGGAGTCAATAACTTACGTATTGCGTGTTAAAACCGTCGCATGGCTACTTTCATACCTCTCCACATGAAACAACCGACATAACGGCAATTAATTACCTATTCAAGTCATTATAATTACTGTGGAATGATGAAAATGTTGATTGAAAATAACGATGAATAAATGATTGTGAAATATACAATACCGGGTGTTAATTTAAATGCATACGATAGCTTCAGGACAGTACCGACAAAGAAACCCATGAAAAAATAAACTGTTATTCGTAAATTAGAGGAACTCGAGGTAACTAAGGAGATAGTTGCCACTAACTTCATATTTCTTGAATTTAATTTTAGGAGAACTTGCAATATTTTCACCGCAGGCTGGATTTGAACCAGCGACCTTCGTCATCTGTACTGACGACGCCTCTACCAACTGGGCTACAGCGGCTCACTCCAAGCCCTTGCATTAAAATTGGCTCAGAATCAGTTTTCGTATCAGATCTTGTTCTTATTCTTTGAGATTTTTGACAGTAGCAACTCTGGCTCTGTAACAAAACAAGTGACAATCGCGAAAGTCCTAAATAGGGTCGAGTGATCCTTCTGTAAACTCTGTATTGTGTGCCGGGGGTGTCAGTCAGGTAATCCGCTACTTGACTGACAGGTCAAATGAGCCACTTTTTAAGACGACCGAAAACGATATTTTGTATGAAATTATAGAAATATGACGTCATAATTCACTATTTTGGATGGAGTCAAAACAAAAACTTTTATAACATTTTGGTGTTTATAAATTCTAACTTTTAATATTGTGGCAAACGATGAATAAAGTCTGTAGTATTTTTGGACAATTGTTATAAGCATACAACTTTTGTATTTTTTTTATGACCCTGTCAAGTAGTGAATTCTTCGGGTGACCGTAATAACGTGGTCTATCTCCACTCCGCCGACCAGGCTACCGCGTCTTTGCCGCTGGCGAAATAAAACAATATCTCGATACCTATGACTGTGATGAAGAAAGCGTGTGTTTGATGGGCGTAGAACTCATGATGATGCCTGGTTCGCTGGTCTCGCAAACAAAAGGCAAAACGACATCTAAACATGCATGTGCCAGACTCCAATTTCACCTTAACTTGTAGAGCGTGCTAAAAATCCATGGAAAAACTTGCCTCAGTCACTGAATAAATCGTCTGTCACAGACGTATGAGGCCGATGATGTTGATGATGGTAACTGTGATGATATAAATGCTTCCATTTCAGCGCACCCTCCCGGCGCTGGCTCGCGTACGACAAACGCGAGTACCTAACGCGTACGACCGCACCGCACTCAAGTTAGAAGAGGGAGATATTGTCAAGGTAAACATACATTACTTACCCACTCTTACTCATTGTAAGTATTATAATAGTATTTCCGTGCTATGGACATAACACAGAAACTGCACTAAGAACACAAGAATGCAAGCTGCTGCACTAAAGAGTTTTCGAAACAGTAACAGGTTAGTCTAACCTAACCTATTATAGTGAGAGTAACCTTGCTAATGATTACAAATAATATAGGGTGTAAAAAAATAACTGCAAGTGGATCAGTGCATAGTGCATGTAACTAAACAACTTTCCCCAAGGATCATAAAATTGGAAATGACCTCCCATCCCATACAAATTGACCCGGCCAGGTTTCATTACAGACATCCAAATTTTCTTTTTTTCATATGTTGTCCTATGTTCCTTGGGAAAAGTTGTTCAGTTGCAAAGACTGAAGACTTTCACCTCTTAAATAATTGCAGTTTTTTTATTAATTCTTCTCACTTCTATCTTTCCAATTAACAGGTAACAAAAATGAACATCAACGGCCAATGGGAAGGCGAGCTCAACGGTAAAGTCGGCCATTTTCCTTTCACATACGTCGAATTCCTCGACGATGGCAACACTCCAGCCAGTTAAACACACACACACACACCGCAGACACGGGGTCTGACACACAAGTGACAAGTGTCAATGTGACAATCAGTGACATAAATGCGAATGACGCATTCAGTGATGATGTGCACGCAAGTGGACAGATGTCTTGGATTTAGTGAAGTGACGTAGATGTGAACGTGAATTTTATCTAAGTGACATATTGTCGAAATGACATTGAGTAAAGTGACATAATTGTCAACATGACATTTTTGTAATATGACATTACCGTCATCGATGCAAAGATATTTGATATTGTTGAAAAAAATGGGACTAGATAGATTCACTACTCACTAGGACTAAAACAAGAATGAAACGTCAGTTTGACATTGTCGTTAAGAGAAATGTCAATGTCACATGGAGGTTAGGTGTATACTCCACTCATGAGAGGTTGCACGACGCTCAAAGCCGTTTCCATATAAAATGTATGAAACAGAAGAGATGCCGTTTACACACGTGAGACGCGCGTCTCACATCGCCGCCGGTCAGCGTCACGTCCTACATCTCCTATTTCACATGTCTAGAATCTAGATAGCGCCTTTGACAATAGGTTACTTGACTGACATATGAGGTCATTTATCAGATTTATTTTGGCGTCAAAACTCTAGCTTACACTACCGTTCGAATAAACCATATTTGACAACTGTCAAAATCATGGTAATGTGATGAGATGACAAGGTCTGTTTTTGTTTGTTAACATGTCTCATAGTGTGGGTTTGACAGCTGACAAATGCGGCATATTTAAACGGGCGTATACGTACAGTAGTTATATTTTCCTGTTTAAAAATTCTAACTGAGAATGTTTTGAAAAATGGTGAATGAAGATTATTATTTTTAAACACTAGTTTTATGCTTAAAACTTTTGTATTTTTGTAGTTACCCAGTCAAGTACCCTATTTGTGGCGTGACGGAATTAATCCTAAACGTGACCTCTATTGAAGGTCAAAAAAGAAGATTTTATGAAAGTTATAGATATTTTTACAGCTTGTACAAAAGGGACAGTATGATTCGGGAAATCTTTGTCTTCTAAATATTGTGCTAAAATATGTAACTAATATTTTATGGTTTTCTATAGCAAATAAGGTACGCATTCTTTCAATAATAATTATTACTATGGTTTATCGTAAACCATGAAAAATGGCAAATGGTTTTAAAATACCGGGCGTAATACCATCTTCTCTGATGACCGGGTCGAATTTTATGCCGATTTTATAAAAGAACATGTTTCTTTTTTTCACACTTGTTGGCTCTTTTAGTGTTGATACTAATCTCTATGCGAGAAATCATAAGAGCTTGTAAAGATAGTTGTGCAATAACCCTGCATATGCTAGTAAATAAATTCATTAGCCAAAACTATTTTAAAAGGCTTAAATGTTGCTATCACAAGTCTTAAAAATTATCTCTTATATCTATTCTATAAATATAGCGCACAGCACAAATTCACATAATTATATGAAATATTGTTTGCTTTTAACCAAAATGATTTCACTGTTATTAAAATAATTATCACGAAATTTTCAGTGCATAATGATTAGTATGATTTTAGTCAAATTATTTTTAAGTTTTGGCGTACTCATAACTAGGTCTCATGTAAGATTGTAAAGCTTTTAGGAAATTTCAGAATCTAAGATAATATGCATTTATGTGATCGCATTCTAACATTTGCATTTTTACAACATATTTTTAATGTAAAAAAACTTAACATTGGAATTATTTTATGTGATTATTTATATGTCAAAAACTAAACATGAAGAAATAATGTATGTGCATTATTTATGTACTTTTAGTTTTTAACATATTAATTAACATAAAACATGCATATTTTTGACATAAATTAATTAACATAAAACATCTACATTTTTTATCATTAACGATTAAAGATTTTTACTCCAAATATTCTTTCCTAATAATAAAAGGAATTGATAATTTTATACATCGAAACAGTTTCTTAACTTTTTTTACGATGTTTTGTAATAATATTTAAATATACGGACATGTAAATAAAGTTGGCACTACTGAAAGCAATATATTAAAAGACTGAAACCCACACATTTGATATTCAGTTCCATCAAATGGTAGCTTAAAACCTTTCCAGATAGAAATAGTTAATAATAAAAGTAGAGAATTTAAATAATTGTAAATTGTAAACCTCCATAGATATTTTAAGATACAAAACATTTACTCAAACTTACAAATATACCTTTTGATAATAACATAATAACCTGTTTGTGGTGTCAACTTTACGCAACCCACGGAATTGTTACTTGTTGTATTTATGTGTAACTCATCGTAGTTTAAGAGAAATGTTGGCGTCGATTCTGGCTGATGATAACAATCAAACTGGATTTGACATGTTTCTGCCAGAATCGGCACCATTAAGGCGCGTATTTATTTGGTAACATCTCCAGAAACATTTGTTCTGCAATATTTCCAAATGAATACGCGCCTTTAAACAGCTTATAGTATCGTACTAAGTATACCATAACAAAATTATAATGTTCATTACAATTTAATAGTTTTATTACAGTTGCAGTTCATAAAGTATACCTAACTTGGAATAACTAAAATGTTGTTAAGTTTTGTGCTTTGAACTTTGATGTAAGAAGATAACTGTGTTTTCTTCATATTTACATGAAAATCAAAGTAATATATACCTTGTATTGTACAATCGTACCCAGATATTGAATGCCAGAATGCAGGCAAAAGTATTTTTAGGAATACATGGAATATGAAATCTACAACTGTATTAAAACTGTAATTAAAGCAAAATGAAGTAATTCTTCCAAAAATATATAAATAAGTCATATTTTTATAAAGCTAGCTGATGCAACCAACTTTAGTTTAGATAAAAATTAATCATTTGGACAAATGGACAACTTGTATGATGTTATTTTATATTTCAAAATAGTTATTGTTATTATATTTCATGATTTAATTATATCTGTAATAAGTTGTTTTTATCATTGTCACAAGATAAGCAGCTTCTATACTGCGCTTATGCAAACATAAAGGGCTCTTTTAGTTTTCAAATACCTATTTCTTTTTGTTTGCTGTGTTATATTCTCATAAATATCTACCATTTATGGTAGTACCATTTCAAACTAAGTTGTCCATCAAATGGTCCTAAAACAAAAGTATTGATTTAACATTCTCGGAAAATTATATTAGTCTGGGATAGTACATACCAAATGTTATTAACAATGTGTAATTAGTATCTTTAATACGAAGTATATTTTGAGATTATTGTGTCATATAATGTTTGTACACTTTTAAGTCATAATCATAAATCAAAATTCGTTTTTTATTTTATGTGTAACATTTTAGTAATAAATAGGGCGCAACAATAACCGTGTCTTCATTAATTTTCCTCTCAAATTGCTCATAATGAGTAGTCAGATACCTACAAAATGAAATGTTAGAAAGTCTTACTTTATAAAGCTTGAAATGTGATAAAATTTGTGTTTTCAATCTTGCTTGATCAGATCAATCACATTG